CTATAAAATATAAAATTTAAATGGAATAACGATTCAAATCAAAAATCATTTTCTATGAGCAATTAAATAATATGAAGGTGAATATTCTATAGGTACCTACATATGGATCTGAAGTTTTATTGTTCCTTTATGGAATTTGAATATAAAATTATTACCTATTTTAATTAGTTCTGTGTTTAATTTTCCGCTGGTTGACATGTAGGTACATATTTTAATTACTATTTCTCAATTAATGTGTATAGGGCCAATGAGCCGATTCTCCAATTCATACAAGGTTCTCGTTTATTTTAATGTTTATAGAGAAATATTAATAAAATCAAAAGCCATGTACGTCTTGGTTGAATAACTTTTTAGGCATTCTACATTTAAAACAGTTTTTTTTTTCCAACCCACGATCGAGGCATAATAGGCCAACAACCCCACAATAGAATTTTATTGTTTTGCATAACATTAGGTTTTTTTTGGATACCGATAAAAATTTCACCACCATAACTGTCTACAATCAGAAAAAGGAAGGACAAAACAGCCCCACAAAATACAATTTCTCACAAATCGAAGCACGCCGCATTTTTGGACTTTTTTTGGGCATCTGACTCTCCTAAATGAATTCCCAAAAAAGCAACCTCAAGGCTGCGTCAACGGCACGTCGACTATAGAATTTCAAAGGGTATCAGCTTTCATGCAAAATTCACTTCCACCATTAAACCCAATAGCCGCCAGAGCCACCCTCTGAAAAATCTGTGAAGGAGAATCAGTGATACATTTCAAAGTTCTTCAGCCCCTGACAAGTTTGACGTCTGGCAACCCAGTTGATATGACAGCTTATCAAAATCTTGAAGCAAGTGATTGTTAGTTTATTTTTAATCGGTAAATAACTAATCACGAAAGTGGGCGACTTCAAACCTGGATGGAGTAGTACGATGAGGGTCAAACGACCTTTAAAATAGACCTTTTATGGTAATATGACGTCAGAATCTAAATTTTTAAAGTCAAACTCACCTTCGACAGAAGAGCTTAGATCATACCTTATTTTGATGGTCCTCTGATTTTCGTCATACCCAGCTAACTACCGGGATTATTTTCTAATTAACTAAAAACAAATACTTTCTTCAAGATTTCAACAAGCAAGTCATGTCAACGGGGTGACAGTCTTCAAATTTGTCAGTTTAGGGACGGAAAGACCTTCAAAATGATCATCTGGTCCTTCTTGCAATTAAATATTTTTTGAGGGGTGGCTGTGGAGTTGATATATGCATAAAAACTTATTCTCCCTCAAATTATAGTTGAAGTGTACAGGGATTTTTCCAGAACTTCTCGTTTCTGAGATAATAGGGGTGGTAGATTTTATAATGAACATGAACACCCTGTATGTGGTGGGTGGTGTATTAGGCTACTTTCTAGCATGAAAGGGTTGGAGCAAAAATTCGGGAGATATATCGACAAATTAAGATTTTTATTCCTCGTCATATGGCTTGGTGCACATGGTTTTTTTTGGCGTGAGGGTTGGGAGCCAGAAATTGGAAGCGGCTATTTTTGAAGAGCCTGAAAAATCAGAGACTCTACTGACATCAAAAAAATCTGAAAAAGATAATTATTCAGCAAAGTGAAATGTTTATGCCGCACATTGGCTGATTTTTTGTATGAATGGTTGGTGAGCCATATATTCGAAGTGGGTATTTTTATAAAGCCCTAAAACCAGGAACTTTATCATTCAAAAAATTGGAGAAACCCTATTGACGTTAGGAAATGGTGAACAGATTATCAGTTAGTATAATAAGTGATTTTTCTACTTGGAGGTGGCTTTGAACGTTAGGGGTTGTATTGTAAAAATAACTTTTTGGATTTTAGAAAAGCCCAAATAAAGCCCACGAATGCAGCCTTGCGGAAGCAAAGGACATTTTAGTCGTGACTGTAGAGTACGGCTGAGATCTTAGCTCTCCTTCTGAAGACTGTCAGCCTTCAATAACTTGTAAGGAGGCTCCAAATGTTACCGGAAGAGGAGTTTGTTCCATTGTGCTATTCAAATCAAAATGTAATGTCAAAAATCCTGGGACCAATAAACAAACAATAATGTGACGTACGTTTTCGTAATTAAAGCACTCTTTGATCTGATTTTTTTTAAGACCCGTTATCAATAATCAGGAATAAAAATGGCAAGACCAATTTGATACACTTGATGGAGAATTTCATTGTTATTGGCGTAGATTGTAGATAGTTGAAATTTTTTGTCTAGGGACGGGTAAATATTTTCGTGTTGGTGCGAATTTAGTTTGGAAGATATTTTTTCTTCAATAGCCTGTCTCTTGAAACCTTTTCTTCAAAATCCTATACAAATTGCATTATCATCTTTGAAAAGTAAGCAAGATCGATCACTCGACTTTTTAACCCTCAAACCCATCCTGTAACTCTAAATTTTTTTAGAGCTATCATTATCAATCAGCAAGTTTACACGATGTTTAAGATTGAAATACTTTTCAACAATAATTGTTCTCTTGAACTATCTCATTTTCTCAATCCCTAAAAAATTAGGTTTTTTATTGGCTCTATGGAATAGAAAATTTCAAATCTAAGCTTAAACTAAAGCATATCGAATTTTAGCTCAAATATAAAGGATGTCCGGAAATAAATGCAACAAAATTTGTTCTAAGATTCCTAAAAAAAAAATAGCGGACCCGTATTTTTTATGTTTGGTAAATTGCCCCCCTAAAATTCGCCCCTGAGAATAGTATTTTTTTTATTTCTCAGAACCCTGTTGTACGAGAATCACTATGTTTTGTACACAAGAATTTTATGACATGAAGGATTGAATGGTGCTACACCCTCAGGCAAAAAAATCAGATACGCAAGCAAAGTTTTGAGGCTCCAAACAGGGGGCCCACAAAAAAGTGTCTCCATGTGCTAGAGAAAAAACCAAGAGAGCACCCGACAAAAATAGGCATATCGAATTCTAAAATGGGTTTCAATAAATGTTGCATAGCTTATTCTAAAAAATATCATTTACTAAAATATATATAACGCCGATTAGATCCTGGTTGCTGTCTATACCTTCTTTTCCCATGTCCTTTTCATTACGTATAGGTTTTTGCGTTTATATTCGTCATCTATCTTACTTTCACTATTCAGTGGCGACATGTGTATCTTTTCTTAGATAGGACCCTTGCGCAAAACATTACTTACGACGTGGGAATTTTATTCTAGTTAGCTAAGTTGAATTAGTAACAAACGCAATCAATTTTTACTAAATATTAAATCGAATGATATTGCACCATTTTGGTTTAAATTTATAGAGCGTTTTATCATTTTTCCTAAATTTTATCACCTATTGAAATTCCTTAAAAATTATTATTGATGACACTACACTGCGAGCAATTATTTGAAACCATCGCTAAATCTCAAAATGTTTAATGATGATTTGTTCTAATAGAACCAATAACTGGGTTCTTTTTTTATTTCTTTTTGTAATCATTTTCAAAAGTAGCGTAAGTAGCTTTAATCAATTCAAGCAATCAACAAATATAAGGAATTTCTCGTACAAAAATAAATTTTCCTTGATGCAGATATTTTTTTCCATGGAATAACTTCTCGGAAATGATGTGCTAATAATTTAATTTCACTAATAATAAAGCCAACATTTGAAAAACCTTTCGAAGTGTAGCCCATGTACAGTAAGCAAAAATTCCATCAATTCAATAAATCTCACTCGAGAAAAAAATCGATTCGATATCGCATCGATGCAACAAACTGATGCATTTCGTATCAATTTTTTTGACAAATTAACCAATGGCCGTTTGCAGCTTGCAGCTACACACATCAAAATAGTCTAGGGAACAAGAAATAAGTACCTATACTAGCAGAAATTTTTGCTGATTTTATTTATAAAATATTTAAACTAAACAAGTTTGCAAAAAAGAGCCGATATGGTAAATTTGATAAGATTTGCTTAATAAATAATACCCTCGTTATCCTAAAAAAAAGTTGTTCGGTTTTAAAATTGGAGGACAGATATTTCTTGTTCCCTAGACTATTTTGATGAGTGTATTTGCAAATTATCAAGTCCTTATAATGAATTTGCAAGAAAAAACAAAAAATCTACATTTTCACTTTATACAATGATATTACCCATAAAAAAAATGTGAAAACTAGACATATTGTTCATATGGAAACTTAGATTAATTTTATCCATGAATTTTTGATAGTACCTAGCTATAGGTACATATTACACATTCTTTAATTCATCAGAAGTTTCAAACAGATGATGCCGATTTCAAAAAATTTAAATAGGTAAGTATCATTAAATGGAAATTACTGAAATAAATTTAATTTAAAATTCCATTTAGCTCAAGAGCGGCATATAGCTGGATTTTGCATTTTAGTCCAAAAAAAATTATACCGTGGAAATTCAAATTTTCGATATAATGAAATACGTTCGATAAAAGTACATGTAGGATAAACTTTAGCGTATTCAATAAAAAATGAAATCTATTTCAGGAAGGTATTTTTAGAAATAAATCAAAACCGAATGCACTGAAACTGCACCAATTAGATGAAATCTCCAATTAGCGGATGTTAATTTGAGATGGGTACTCTGTTTTGACGAATTTAGGTAGATGTTATAATATAATAAATGAAAGAAAATACATGAAAAGTGAAAGGTACCTAACAAAATATTTTGTTAGACTATCTGAAGTAAAGCCAATAAAGCTAGTGATAATACTTTACATTTTCATCCAGATCGGAAATTCCTAGCCTAGCTATTAGGAGTCGCGGAGGTACTTTTTAACTCTACTATGAGAACAAGAGGAAATTTGTTTCATCTTGTGTTAGAATGGCTGAATTTATCATTAAATCTCTTATTTATTAATAAGGTTTCCCTAGAAAAATAAATATTTAATCATCAAAAACATTAATTTTGTGTTTTGGGGTTACAGGGTTGAAATTGAAAAAGCAAAAAAGAAATAGGTTGAGGCCTTGTTTATTTTCGATTTTTTTTGGATAGGTACCTTGGCTCTATCAAGAACATCAAGTCCAAGATCTGATAGCAAGTTGTCTTGACCAGCGGCAGCGCTCACACTAGTAGTGTACACTATCACAAAAAATGTCCACGCTGCTCTGTTGGCTCCAAAATTGTAGCCCATAGCCGGGGGAGGCTGTAGTCGTCATTGACACTACTTAGTACCTGTTGTAATGCACATGCACTTGTTCAGTTGCCGGGTCGCGTAAATAGAAATAAACGAACACCAAAGTTGAATGAATTGATTCGTCGAACTTTGAACTGACCAACACGACGGCGGACGCCAGTTTTCTTTCATATGGAAGCCGCGTTTCTAGTTTTATATGGCTCGTACTGGAAGGGGGACAAGCGACGCCGAATGGTTTTACGCTATTTAATTCTTCACGTCCAATGACCAGAAAAGCTATTTTTCTTTGCACCGATAAGCGCAGGACGCGCCGAATCGCTAAGTTTTAACAAATCACGGCTCTATGTATAGCGGAACTTATCGGATATCAATTTTAAAATGTCATTATATGTTTATATAGGTACATACATAGGTACGTGTAAGAGGAAATATTGACAGTTACGCATTCCGGAAAAATGTGTTTCTAAGTAAAAAACTAACTGTTTAATTTTATTGTGCGTACAAATTCTAAAAAAATCCAAACCAACCTGGGTGGCATGATGAGGGTCAGAACACCTTTAAAATAATTTTTTTGTGGTATTAGGGTATCAGAGTTGAGAATTTAATTTTTTGAGCTCACTCACCCTTTCCAAAGAAGGGCTTAGACGGTTTAGTCATAGCTTATTTTTAAGGTCCTCTGACCCTCACCATACTCAACAGGTTGATGAAAATCCTTCGAAATCAGGCACTTGCTCGTTTCAGACGCACCCGTAATCCTTTCCATTGGGGTTACAAGGATATTAGAAATTTTACCACAACCGCTATCAGCGCATATCTGAATCAGAAGTTTCAGAACTTTTACAGGGAGAAGTGGGCTGAATTGAGGAAATCAAATATTCTTAAAAATAAAAATAAAAATATTCCTGATCACCTAAAATATGTTGATGAATTGATGAATTAATAAATTTTTATAATAATAATTCACTGCATGATGAATCTTTTTCATTTATTCAAATTGATGAGGATTTGATTTATAAAATTATTCTCAATATTAAATCTAAGGCTTTCGGGGCAGATAGTTCAAATATCACACTTATCTCTTTATGCTGTCCATTTATAATAGGTAGGTACCTAAAGTTGATAACCCTACGGAGTTCAATCAACTGAGGTCAATATCAATCTTGCCCACTTTTTCTAAAATCTTGGAGAAAGTGATAGAACTCCAAATGGTCAGCTTTGTTTATAGATTTAATATTATCCCTCCTAAACAATCGAGGTTTAGAGCCTGGTATAGGTAGCTGTTCTACTGCACTGTCTGATGTGGTGGAAGATGTGCTCACTTTTCAGGATTCTGGTGATGCAACTGTCTTGGTGCTATTGGACTATACGAAGTAATTTGATATGATCAATTATATGTTATGATTGCTATTTTGGGGTATATTGGATTTGAAAGGTCCGCATCCTCACTGATATTTCTTTTTTGTCGGATAGGAGACAGCGAGTCTGTCTTGACGGCAGAAAATCTGACACCTTGGCGGTCAAGTCTGGAGAACCCCAGGGTAGTATACTTGGCCCACTTCTCTATAGTATATATACTTTTAACATTGTAAAGTTCTTGGAGTATTGCCAGTATCACCTTTATGCCGACGATACACAAATCTATGCATCATTTAAGCCTGGCTTGGCGGCTATTGTAGTAGCAGATCGGATCAACATCAGTGTCTTGAATCTGTTATTGAAAGCTTCCGAAGATCATTTATTAAAAATTAATCCTAGCAAATCTACGCCTTTTTTTTTCTGCAATGAAACTTGCAGAAACCAATTACAGGACACTATCAAATCAAATATCATATAACATATTATTATTATTATTGTTGTTATTATTATTATTATTATTATTATTATTATTATTATTATTATTATTATTATTATTATTATTATTATTATTATTATATTAGTTCTAGTTTTCTTTTGATTGTGAGCTAGGTACCTATTAATAGTCTCTACTGGTGTTTCTTATCTGTTTCAAAATAAAGTTTTTTTAACGTTTCTCGGGCTCTAGCAGCTGCCCCTCTTTTTGAGGCGAGCTGATGCAGCCTTTTATTCCATATTTATGATAAAAATTTGAACATGTGTAAATAATTTTTTTTTTGAATAATTAAACCTTTATTATAATTAATATTATTATTATATATCGAAAAATAATTTAATTTATTTTGACAATGAAATTAATGAAGTACTTAAACTGGAAAGTCGTGGGAACTTATTCACATGTTACATATCATCATACTAAAATTCCTGAGGAATGTAAGTTATATAATATATTCTTCAGATAGGTACACCATATTTGAGAAGAGGGACAAAAACAAATGTGAAAATTACCGTGGAATAGCAGTGAGAAGTTTGATGAGTAGAGTCTCTGGGAAGATTATTAAAAACAGAATCGAACAAGAATATTAGAGCTTGAAAGCCAGGAACAAGCAGGCAGAGCGACCGTGGACATACCTGCACTAATCTAGGTCATAAACCAAGAAATAAACACTTTTCATAGAGCTTACAATAGCATATGACCCCTATTCTAAAGCTATGAAAAAGCCTAGAAACAACACAAATAAATACGGTAGGTAGGTAGTAGAAAAAGCAGCCAAGGTTTTGTACGATCAACCAACAACGATTTACTCTGTCAGAGGATTTGAAACAATGGTGCTGCATATCTCCAACTCTTTTCAAAATACATCTGGAAAAGGTACTATCAGTGCGTGGAAACGAAAATGTCATGCAATGGGCCTTCTACTTAACGAGAATATTCTATACACAATACCTATGCTTTGCCGATGACCACTTGTTTTTAAAGTTCAAAACTCAAAGGGGACTGGATATCAACATAGATAAAATGAACTACATGTGGTTAGTTAGACAATAACAATTAGATTTATTAGTGCTGGAAGGTGAACAGAAAGAACATAAACCACACATACCTAGGAGTAAAAATTAGTTTTGACGGATCCTTAAACGCAGCATGTGGAGCAAAATAACTTGGGAGAAAAGCTATTACCTACCTTACTAAGCAGGATCTTATGGAGCAAACGTATAATTGATAAAGAAAATAGGAAATTAACTTATGATACTATCGTTGGATAATGTAATAGCCTATAGTTCCGAAGTATTGCCAATCAGCGAAGAAACAGTAAAATAGTTGAGAGCTACCGGAATGGATTATTGGAGCAAAGCGGAGATAGCAAACACAATCACAGACAACATCAGAATTAATCAACTATATAGTTTACGTGTCCAAACCATCCATTGCCTGAGAATTGGAGTGCCATGACAAATATAGGCTGGTAGTGGCAACGGAAAAGACCAGGTGGCCGATCCTCGGGCCAGGGAGTAGAGCTCCCCGAGAGAACAAATTTTTCGTCTTTATCATTCTTGTTCACTTTTCGATATAGTTGACAGGGACAAAACATTCGTTCTATCGGGGAGCTCTACTCCCTGGCCCGAGGATCCGGCCACAGGGAAGGCCAAGAAAAGGCAGGAGAGCGGGCTTCGAGTAAGACGTGTGGAACGACCAAAATAAATAGAGATTAGCAATCAGAAGACCTCGGAAAACGCTACAACCGATATACAATTTTTGGGTCCATTTTAAGAAGAGAACGTCAGACGAACGTATGTCCTAAACATCTTAATTTTTGAGATACAGGGTGATAAAGTTTTCAAAAATAAATCATGTATTATTAATGTCTGTAACACCACTTCAAATATTTTAATGGAATTTGGTATACATGTACTATATGTATCAAGAGGCATTTTTTAATGTACTAAATTTCCACCAGTGGCGTTCGTACGGAATTTGACGTCAACGCTGTCTGAGGTCATAGAAAAATTGGTGAAGGCTCAGCTTTGCAGTTTTTCGCAATCTTATGGCAAGCCGTTTTACTTTTTAATGCTAAGCCTCTCAATTGTGAAATAAAATATAGAAATTTGCGTTTGAAATTTCAATATACGTATATTATTTGTAACAATTTTTATTATGCTTCAACATGATAATAATTAATTAATATTCTACCGAATGATAAATGAAGTTTAAATCCCTATTTTGGCGTTTTGGTGGTTTAAAGCGGCAACACATAATTGCAATTCAGTATATTTTCATTCTGCTATTAAAATTATGTCAGTACCTACATAATGTAAAATGTAGAATACATTTTTTTCTAATTAAAATTATTTCAAAGCTTGATTTTAATTTTGCTAATTTTTATTCGAGAATTGAAATTATTATGTCAAAGCATAATTTTAAATCTGCAAATTTTTATTCTACAATTAAAATTATGTTTCGACACAAAAGTATGTTTCGACATAATTTTAATTGTGCGCTGGGGTAGCGTGGTGGTCTTCGACACTAACAGTTGCAACCTGCAGGGTATCTATTCTCGTAACCGGGAACGGGGAACAGCGTTCTCACTACGAGGACGATTGCTCTGTCAGTGTTATGATACATAAAACTCGTCTAAGCATGAAACCGTCCTTTTTTCAAACCCGAACAAAGTTTTGTCTGCTCCGACCGAAGTGTAGGTGCAGATAAATCATGATTTTTGTGATCGTGATCTTTATAAGTTGCTCGAATTACAAACGGGCAAAAAAATATTAGCTCTTAGGACACGTGAACGCCAATTTGCTGCTGAGATCTGCTTGGAGCAAGAAAAGCAGTACAGAGTACAGATTACAAATAAACCCCATCCGTTATTTGACCTGTTCGCACAGAAATCACAAACCAGTCAAAGCGAGTTTCATTGGCTGAAAACTGTCGGAATAAAGCTTAGATCATCATCATCAGCTCAAAATGACAATACCCGAACGCATCGGGAATCGGGACTAATCGGGATTGTTGCACTCGGACACTCGGAGCTTAGAACAGTCATCTCCAACTATGCGAACCCGAAACCTACTTTACCCGCTATTATCGAAGACCACCACGCTACCCTGCAGAATTAAAACTATGTCAAACCATAATTTAAATTCGAAGCAATTTTTATTTGAGAATTGAAATTATGTCGAAGAATAATTTTCATTGCGCACACTTATATTCGAGAATTAAAATAGTGTAAAAGCATAATTTCCAATGTGCACATTTCTTTTCTACAATTATTAAAATTATGTTTCGACCTAATTTTAA